AAAGTTTTATTATGCTTGTTCAGCTTAAAGTTGCAGGCACTTAGCATCGTTTTTGAAAGTGAGGGGCCAACCAGAGAATTTTTTTTTACTTATCTGAAAAAGTTGACATGCAAAAAAAAAAAAAACAGAAAAAAAAAAACCAACATCAAAAGTTGCCCAAACTCCAAAATCCTATTTCGTGGGGGGGGGGGGGGGGGGATCAACTTTTTCAAAGCCAATTTACTTTCAATTCCTATTTTCCCAACAATTCTTTAATATCACCATAGTTTAGTCAAAAAGTGGGGGGCCAACTATCCCTTCAATGATCATATCCTATAGTAAAGGTAATGTTGGGGAAAAAAGTGGGGGTCCAACCCCCCCCCCCCCCCCCCCCCCCCCTGTTGCTACATCCCTGAGTTGAAAATTATTTCATTTCCCGGTATTATGAGGAAAACTATTTTGTGTGGTGTCACAGTTATCTTTTCCCGTATAAATCAGGCCCGTCCCCATTTTTTCGTATTTAAAAGTGCTGCGTTATAATGTCTATACCTGTATCATCTTTCCAAATATGAAATGACCGCAACAATTGATTAGAAAGCAAAAGCAATAATTATATTTTTCTTTTAAAATGTAACATAAAATCTAATAAAATTTTAAATTACTTTTACTTTTTCACACTAAAGTCTGAAAAGAAATACTTTAAAAATGATCCAAATTTCAAGAATTTTAAAATTGCTTTAAAAGATAAACATAGTTGCGCTAAAACTCATTCTACCATATGAAAATTACTTCTGTTTCTTTTTATAAAGAGGATTACATATTCTTGTCCTCTTCTCTGTCATTATGCAATTGTTATGTTTGAGTGCAGCTTTTAACTTACACGGTAACAATGTTCTACATATTTTCAATAGTAAAATGTTTTGTTCATTATGTGATTAAAGTAAAATTCATGCATTTTTTGCGATGAGAACAAAATGTAATACATCATTTGTTTATCTGTGTTCTTCAAGTCGATCGTAGATGTTTTTCTCTTGTTCCTGGATTTCCATTGTAACGTAATTGTCGCAATCAACATTGGAACCTGTAACTTTAACTTGACACTTCCCTGTGGTTTTCCGTTGACTTAAATCAAGATAAACAGAACCTTTAAACGATTTTTTGAAGTTAAAAAACCATTCGGGAATATTAAAAATAAAATTTCATACAAAACTTGTTATGGTACATGTACAACATAAAAATGTATAGATACTAACCATAGATACGTAAAAATCAGAGCAAAGATAATCCCCAAAATAACAGCAATGATGATCGATACAACTTGAAGTGCTTCCGCGTCGCCTGAAATTATGTCTATATATAAATGTATTTTTTTAATAAAAAAAATTTATTGACATATTCTACTAATATGTAGAAATATCTTTTTTAAGAAAATGAAAATAATTTTTTTTATTGTGTTTAAGATGAAATCGTGTACATGATATAATTGTTGAATTTACCTTCTTCGTATTTTTCTGGGCTCTTCTGTTCAAATTTGTGGAATACCTTGCAAATTTGTAAGAAAACGGAAAATATTAAGATAAAAAACTTGTAATGTTATAAATCATAAAACACAACTATCTGTTTAGTAAATAACCAAAAGAAGAATATATAAATTTTGTCATAAAGTTTATTGCTGACTGACGTTTTTCATACTAATTATTAGGTCATTATTAAAACACGCAGGGAAGCATACAAAATATTCTACCTTGACTAAATCAGTGCTACATTATGACGTCATAGAAGGCGAAATGACGTCAACTGTATAACGAAACTTTTCATATATATTGGTATTAAGAGATGTTATTTAACTCTAGAAAATAAATAGAAACGTGAAAACATTTACAAAAATAAAATGTTTTTATTTTGTTATGATGTATCTGTCATTTCAATTAAAATCTACCACCGATGACGTCATATGTGTACATCAATAAACTTGGGAATAGATCATGTCGTGTAAAGAGAATTTGGCTAAGACGACATGTACAAAGATACGTAAAATGGAGTTTAAAAGGAAATATCGTGAACATTATGTGAAATTCATATGGAGTTCAGTTAAATAAACAGGTATGCTAAGTTATTTTCATCGATTATATTCTCTTTCGAAGAAAGTCAGCTATATACGTATACCAGTCGGCCTTTCCTCTGTCGTTCGTGACAAAAGTAATGCAACAGAAAAACAATAAGCTGTATATTCCAAAACATGAGATTAGCACAGATAAAAAGTTTGCTTGCTAAAATACTTGAAAAGTGCCGTTAGAATCCCGAGTTAAGCATGGTTTGCGAAAAATCTCGGTTCATATGTATCAAATTCAAAACATTGGGTAAGATTTCGTGCGAATGTGTGGAATAATTTTTTTACTGACAGGACAGTAGGATTCTAGCAGCACTTTTTAGGAAAAATATATGTTTTTCGACTATATTATTTGCTAAAAAAATTATTAAACTCCGGGGTATTGTTGTTCTGTTAGCTTTTTTATTAATGAAAATTTCGCTATTAATAGAAGTCACGTGATCCCGTGGCGGTGGTGCACGTCTTTCCGTTAGACACTCTTTTATCTGTACGCAATAGTTAATAACAGTTTACATTTATCAGAGGTTTTGGTAATTTATCAAACTAAATTTTCTTTAAAAAGTCTAAATTTTCCGAGAAATGACTTATATGCTTCCTTAACATACCCGCGCACTCAATTTCCGACGGATATTGCGTTATTTCACCATCATGGATAATGAGAAGTCGCATGTGGTGGGTATGACCGGTCTGCAGAGGATGCTCTTTTTCATTTTGCCTGATTCCAACACTGATATTTTGGAGGTCTGTGTTTGCCCTGCTCAAAATTAAATATTGTCAAATGGACTTTTGAGTTTGAATACTGCTCCTTATATTTTATACCCTAAATATAAAATATATGTACGACTTCAAAATTTCTAGTCAAAATCCTGTTCATTTGCTATTTATAAGGTCCGATTTTGGTTTATAAAAACCCCGAAGTCTGATGTTCTCGTGAAAGCCCGTTTTCTAGTGGTCGCACTGAGTGTAATGAGATCGAGAAGGTAAAACGTCATGGTCCGACGGTGCATAAAAACAATCAACATATCGACGTCAAAATGACCTTGACGAATATGACGAAGTTATCCTTAATTCAAGAACAATAATCTATCATTATTACAAATTTGTCTGATATCGCTTATTGTTCAAACTCGCTGTGTTTTAAAGGTTAGGTATGTTTGTGTCTGGCGTGATTTATGTGAAATCAAAAAGCGCCTTGAAGTGGTTAGCGTATACACCAATCGCTTTTTTGTCATGGACCCAAGGGTCTAAACAATATTTTTAACACCGGAAACTTTGTCAAAGAGTGAGCAATAACAATTATTGTTCAGCTCATTACGCACTCTGGTGAGAGAAAAGCACCATGCAGTAAATAAATTTATAAGCGTATTTACAAAAGCATTGACAAAAACTCTATTAGAACACAATATCAAAGAATGAGGAATCTTGTTAGCTTTTCGGTGAACCCTGGTCTAATTTCTACGGGAAACTTTTACTGTGATGTCACACGAATTTCTTGTTTTTATGTATTCCTCATAATACCTGAAAATTATCTAACATTCAACTTTAAATTGTATTAGCATAATGAGCAACAATAATACTTATTAATGCATTAAAAGAAATTGCTAGTGAAGTCCAATACACCTGGTTGTAAACAAATCTCAAACTGAAATGAACATATCAACATGACGTCATTTTGGTAAAGATGACGTATTTTTTAACCCTTTCTCTTCCGGCGCATTTTACGTGATTTTGGAGGCCTTTTGACATGGCATTATTAGATTATTTCTAACTTTTTTATCCAAGGGGAAAGCTAGGCATAATGCATACCATTTTGTAGGAAATTTCTTACAGATGATATTTCATGACTGTTTAGATACTCAACCACTGACCTTATTAGTAAAAATTGAGGTCAAAGGTCAATTAAGTGCAAAATTTTATGGAATTTTTTGATACTTTTTGATCTTTAAGCTAAATATTAAGTATGATGTATGTTGAAATAGGAAATTTGGGATATACCCACAAAAGAGCATTATACTGTACTACATGAAACACATAAACTTTTTTCCCAATTCTACATATAACTACTTAAAAAGGGTTGCTAAGCAACGCAGAATTCTTTGATTTTCGGGCAGAAATTTTCATTTTTTACTCATCCTAGACACATTTATGCATCCCAGCACATATAAAAGTTAGATGTGAGGTCATAAAATTACAAGGGACATACAACAGATAAATTGTCTTAAAGTTTGACCTCATTAGAACTATTTTTAGGAGGTCAAAGGTCAAATAAGTGCAAAAGTTTCATCAATTTTTTTCAACACTTTTCAATATTCTTGCCATAATTTTACACAATGGATGCTGAAATGGAAAATTCTGAATATACTCTCAAGAAGGGATCAGAACTGCAATATCCATGCATCATTTTAGTTCAAATATCTGTTTAATGACCTTTAAGTGGTTGCTAAGCAACATCATTTTAAAGTTTTTGGCTATATACATGTTTGTTATTTCACATTCTGGACACATTCTAGACACTTTTTGTATATTTCATGATATTGTTTGTAAGATATGGGCCATAAAGATGAAAGAACATTTTTGTATTAAAAATTGACCTTGACACTCTTGTTCTTCAGGGGGTCAAGGTCATATCAGTACAGAATTCTGCTTTAAACTGTAAGTAAATATCAATTTTGAAATGCTTCAAACATGGATAAATCATCTAATAGTTGACGTAATAAAAATGGCGAATGACAAAATTTGCAAGCAAAGAATTCTGGTCTGCTTCTTACAAAGCCCTAGCAAAACATGTATACTATCTTTTTGTTAAACAAGAAATCCATTCTCTTGATGTCATTAAAAATAATCTTTATTTTCATGGATTTAATTAACAAGAAAAAAAACTAAATGATTTCATTACAAGATTTTTCTGGTATAACAGAGCTAAAGGGGTACAATAAAGACTTGACATGTTATCTTGGAAGGAAATAATAATAATAGATAGCATTGGCAATATTTAATGCAAAACTGTTTAGTCAATAAGTTGAAAATTTGACGCTCATATCCAAATATACAAATCCAGAAATATTGCAAGATGAATTCCAAATCAGACTGAAATCTTCAACAAAATGTTGAAGAGCAATTTTACTTTGTGTCCACCATTCTTTTATCAACTGTCATTTCTCTGTAAGACTGGAGGAAATTCTTTGACTTGTCCAAGACATTATTATTTGCTGTCAAGTACAAGTGATCAGCTTCTATCCTGTAAAAGATTCAAGTATTTTGAAACAGATACATGTCATTGTGTATATAGTTTATATTTATAAATAAAATTAAAAATGCTAAAATTACTACATTTATTTGATTTTCCTTTTAAAATTAAAATTGTATTCATTATGTGATCCAAGTAGTTAAATGATATTGTTAAGTCAATGTATCAGGACTGATAATTCAACAACCTTGTAGTAAACCATCATGGTAAAATTACTGAACTAAAACAAATAGCATATATGGCAATCTGACTAAAGCCAGACCTCTGTTTACGCTATCGCAACATGTAAAAAAAATCTGGCATTAGATTGCTACGAAAGCCAGGAAGGGACACGTAAATTTTTCAAAAAAGTAAAAAATGATATTGAATCGAATTAGACAATCTAATCCCACGGATTACTAAATTGTTCCCTCGATTTATAATATGAGATCTCAAATTACACAATCCGATCTTAAGGATTACTAATTCACCCCCTTGATTCATAATTTTAGATCTAAAATTAGATACCTGTAATTTGTTTTCACTGATTGATAATTCAACATCTTGATTTGTTAAACCGTCAGTCTTATGATTTTGGAAATCTGTGCTCTTGAATTTCATTACATATATGTACAGAAACATCCAACCATTTTAATCAATAAGTGCGTTCTATTTATTTTGTTTCAGCAACCGGTCGTTTCCAACCTCTTTCATAACTAATTCAACGTATATTTATTTTAGAGGCCACTATTACAAATTACACATTCTAATAAGACACTGGCCATTATTCCAGGTTTCAATCCAATGAACAAAAAATTGCGACCACGGTTGTAACACAAAAACCAAATTCTAAACATTTTTAAGAAATTTTTAATCAAATGAAATCCCTTTTACATTTAATTTAACATGAATTTCTAGAAATGGAAATCTGTTATTGTTTTTTTTTGTGTGTGTACAGCCATAGAATTTCATAACAGGAAATCATAAAATGTTCTAATAATTCAATTCTCTGATGCTGTGTAAAGTTTTATTTAGTTTTTCTAGATATATAATATTTATGATTAAAGGCAGTGAGACTGACCGTTTGACTTGATAACCTCCGAAATTGTCGCCATTTTAATAATGTTGTGCATGAAAATATTCAACAACTTACTTTGTATATTAAGAACAAAAATAAAAGATCTTTTAACAATAAATCATTTAATCATATTAATTAAATAATTAAAATTCAAATTAACTGCAATTATTGGTCATTAACAGCTGTTCATGTTTGGCTTCGTTGAGGATGCGAGGTCAATGACATCGGAAGTCATGTGACAAAACAGACAAAATGGCCGCAGGATGTTGAGCAAACGGGACCTAAAAAACTGGACTGGCCTGTTTTCATGAGTTAAAATATTTTGAAACTCTCATGGGGATGATTAAAGGTGGAGGTGGTTTAATTTATGTATTCTTAATTATAAAGTTTTAGGATATTTTTCAATTATTCTAATACAAGTAACACAAAAATAAGATTTTTTGTTGTACAAATATCAGTACTAGCACATGGATTTGAAAAAGTTCATGTATTTTTCTCATTTTGGACCATAATATGTAATAAAAGTTAGGATGTAAAATGCTACAATATTCTATTTTTTAAACATGTATTACCATATCCGATATGTACAGATAAATAATTTAAATGAAATCATGCGAAGGGTTTACATTCCGAGGGAATGAATCATTAAAACTAAGAGAATGAATTACACAGTCTGAGATAACGGATTGTGTAATTTGAGGGAACGAATTGATAATCTGTGAGAATGAATTGGCAATTTGTTATAACAGATTGTCAATCCGAGAGAACGGATTGTATAAATCAAGAACTCGGTTTACTTTTATAAATTTTAAAAATTCTATGTCCCTTCATGGCTTTCATAGATTTCATACCTGCATGGCTGCCAGGGTTGTAAAAAGAAAGGAGACAATAGACTGCAATGTTACTTCAGGGCAAAATTCCTGGCGCAAGGCTGTTCGTGTTGAGTGTTGATAAACCATCCAGTGAGTTTGACCACCCATGTATATGATATAGGATAATTGGAAAGTGTCTAAAAATTGAGAAAATGGAAATTCTAACCACATACTTTATGCAGATTGGAAATACAACAGCAGTCTATAAAAACAGCTTGTTCCATATCTCGGCATTCATTCAGATAGATATTACATGTTTAAATAATGTGTCTGTATGAATAATCAAGCATCATAAGTATTATGTGTTTCAAACACTTATTTTTCAAAATATAAATCAAATGTTTATAAACTTGTATGAATGCGATATCACGAGAATGACACAAATGAAATTAGACTTTATTTTTTGAAATTTTAGAAATACAGAAATTTTCAATACCAAAACAAAAATTTACCTGTTCATTGGTGTCCTTACATATTAATTGACCTTCGTAGTTCATGGTGGGCTTAGAAAGTGGGTATTCACAGATGAAAGTATTGTTGCATATGCTGAAAGCACCCTAAAATTTCAATGTGAAAGTGGTACATGTACACACTGGTACATAGATACTGAAAACAACTATCCATTATTATGACAACTTTGATTTTACTTTGAACTTACGAGTGATTGTCAAAAGCATAAAAGTTCAAAAGCAATGCAAAATTGGCTGAACGATACGAAATACGCACACTGAAACATAAAGATCTAGTACATGTGTACATTTAGTTTTCTTTTGAACGTGAACTAATGCCTTTTAAACTTAAACTTTTCAGTCAATATACACGTATTCTCACCTGCTAATACCAAAGGCATGTCCGTATTATTTGATTCATTGATGTGATGATCTTCGTCATGAAATAATCACGAAAATTGACGTTCAGATTTCGGATCACCATGTTGTTGTTTACTGCTACCACAGCGGAAACACGTGGTTATTTCAATTCGTATCAACTCATACAGTGATGAGTCGTATTTATTTATAAATGCGAGATTTTGTATTGTTAAATATAGATCTAATTAAATTGCAAATTAATAAGTATACAGTATAACAAGATACAACAATATTACAAATCTGATTGATTTTTTTTAGTAAAGATCGACGTATTGGAAATCTACATTTTTTATCAACATTGTATATCACTTCATGAAATATACACCATTACATGTAGATGAATAAATCAACATTCACTTCACAAAAGGCAGAACGAAAGTATATATTTGTTTTTTGAAATCTATTTTTTTTTTGTATTATGCATTTATTTCAGTAAAAAATATATTTAAATGGTCAAAAAAGTCTTATAAAAGAATTTGTTGTTTCGAGTAAGACGCAACAATATCGACCTTGACGTTACATGTAAATATTGACCGATTTTTCCATAAAAACTATGCGAAGGTCACAAATTCAAATTATCGTAATTAAGAAAATACTGAGCGTAAGAAGGCCTATAAGGGCTTGTTGGAAAGGAAATTTTCTCTACTTTTACCAGCTTTATTTTGTTTTCCCTATTTCAACACAGAAATAAACGTAAAACTGAGCTTTGTTTAAATATTACGAATAAAATCGAGAAAAAACACATAAGTGCAAGAAAATTCTTGTTTTTAAAATATACCTTAAAGTAATAACAATAATTTTTACATATTTTAAAAGTAGAGAAAATATGCTTTAAGAATATACCATGCTTTCTTATAAAGTTAATCAGGAAAAAAATTGTCAATCGTCTGGAAAATCGGCAATCGCTTTGGAAAATTACGCCATTTTCAAAAAGTCTCGTTTGTCTTTACAACGTAAAATCGATTAAATACCGGCAATCAAGATATAATCTTTTTAGATATTTCAAAAGTAGAGAAAATTTCCAAAAAGATGATATATAGCTTACATACCTTCATGCTACCACAAAATAAATACGGAGATCTTATTTTCGCGAAGTCGTATTTTAACGCGCCACCGGTCAATTTGACCGGTACGGAAGTGAAGGTATTGCTATCACGTGCTATACCTACTGTCAATATAATGCTGCGTAAAATAACACAAAATGACATTCACAAAACATCCAGGAAACAACGGCAACATAAAATCCGTCTTGGAGATCTGTATTTTCATTCCCTCTGCCCCTATTTTGTATTGTTTAATAGATATTTGAGCTTGATTACTGTTCGTTATCTCCATTTTTCAGGAAAAATGTCTCCAGCGAAAATATTTACATGTGCAATTTTTCAGCCAGGGACAATATGTCCCGATGGAAAACAGTTTGTATATTAGAAGAAGGTAGATCTTCTCGCCCACGACAATATGTACGATACGGCAATATGTACCATCAAAGAGGTGATTTTGGCTCATAGTGACTGAGTATGGGTACTCGAAGATAACCCTTTACCTTATTGCAAAGGACGTTAGTCAGCTTGTTGAAACAATCAACAAAGACACAGTCAGTCTGGTTGCATTTCTGACATTGAATGAAAGAGCCTCTCTGATCATCATCCACAGGAAAACCTAAACAATGAATGCAAAAAGAGTAATATTTAAGAAAAGGAACAGTTACTGTTAATATCATATAATTGTATAATTTCAGATGTCATGTTAATACGGACGCGTAAGCATACATGCAATAAAATAATTATTATCATATGTAATTATTTGTATCTTTAGGGTCAACCTGCAAATATAGACTATATCCTGAATATCATGCCGATGGAAAGAGTTATATGTTTACCTCAATTATCTATCTTTTATTATCATTCCTCATTATAATTAGTCTATACAAAGCGTTATCTTATTGGTTTTAGATTATCAGGGGATCGGGCCATAAAACTTTATATTTAACGATCGTCGGCATGCTTTTTAGCTCATCTGAGCCAAAGACTCAAGTGAGCTTTCCTGATCACATTTTGTCCGGTGTCCGTCTGTCTGTCCGTCTGTCTGTAAAATTTTCACATTTTCAACTTCTTCTCAAGAACATTGGGGCCAATTTCAGCAAAACTTGACACAATGCATCCTTGGTTAAAGTGCATTCAAGTTTGTTTAAAATGAAGCGTCACGCCTTTATTCAAGTGGAGATAATTGGGAATAAATGAAAATCTGGTGCTATGTTTTGAAAATCTTCTTCTCAAAAACCACTGTGCTAGGAGAGAGAGAGAGCTTATTGAGAAACATCCTCATGTAGTGTAGATTCAAGTTTGTTCAAATCATGTCCCCCAGGGATAGGGCGGGGGCAAAATGGCCGATCGAAGTTTTACATAGAAATATATGGGAAAATTCTTTAAAAATCTTCTTCTTAAGAATAGAAAAGCCATAATTGATCATATTCATATGGAAGCATCCTCAGGTAGTGTATATTCAGGTTTGTTAAAATTTTTAACCCTGGGAGTAGGGCGGGGCCAAATGGATGATCAAAGTTTACATGGACATTTATGGAAAATTCTTTAAAAATCTGAAAAATAGCAAAGCCATACTTGGTCAAGGTACTACTTTTGTATTTAAACAAAGTTCTACTTTTTCCTAGCCACAATGCTCAGGTGAGCGATGTAGTAGACGTCACAATAGCCTGATCTACGTCACAAAATTGCTGATTAGTGATGCATCAAAAGGTTTCAGTAACTTATATGTAATAAAATGAAAGTTATTTTGAGAGCGGATTTTGATTTTGAGAGAATTTGAAAGTCTATGTTTATTTAAATGCTTTTGATTATTTCGGTATGATAAACAATTCATCGAAGATTTATTCATCCAAGAAATATCCTATTGTTTAATTTGATTTTCTGAGTTGAATTATGGACTGACAGACAGAGGGAACACAGAGACAGACAGGAGGCTATAAAACATTTAATTCATTTCAATGAACATTAAATCTCGGGGTCTCATAACAGGACAAAATGTGGTAAACGAATTATGTTAATGCACTGCATTGAACCCAAATTAAAACAAACGTACCGAATTCCCGAATCTTTTTAGATTCTGAATGAAAGGAATAAGTCATTTAAAAGGATTAACCTTGATCGTATCCGATATAAACTTCTTTAGCAATACCAAGCCATGATAAGCCAGCCTTATTCCTGTGCAATGTGTCACATGTCAAGGAAGCGTTCGTGGATGATATGTTTCCATACAAGTATGTAGGCATGGACCATTTTTTGCACCATTTCATTGACTCTGTCCAATTCTGCTTAGCATCCATGTCTGTGTAAAACGATAGAAATATAAATAATGCAAAGGAACGTAATTAGAGAGTTAAATGTTTGAAGACATTTTCAATACTGAAATATTAAGTGAAAATGAAGTATCCATCAAATGTTAATAATTTTAAAAGAAATTCTCATTTTTAAAACTTAATATTAAACAACATTCCGTCGATGTAACTCTATCCTATTTTAAATGTAATTTGGAATATAACTATATATGCTGTAGATCAAAAAAAGTAAACGCTTCAAAAGTGTTCTGCCTTTTTTTTAAAAGCAATGATCATTAAAGACAGCAGTTTATATATTTTAACACACTTGATATCAGTTGAAAATTACAACTATAAACATGGACTTTATTTGTTAATACTGAAGAGAAAAAATACATTACGTGTATGAGAAGATATGTATTTTTTAATGCAAACATTGCAAATTCATTTTAGCTAATTTGACCTTGTAATGAAAAGAGAAGCAAATTACTTCCCTGTATATGCATGCCTGATATGACATTTGCTTCATATTTTATCAAACTCATATAATGCATTGTTCACTTTTAAGTTCATTTGTCATGTTAAGAAAATTGTTGCTTAAGCAAGACATGAATGTGGAAATGTATATGGAAAATGTTTATTGTACATTTATTTTTGCAAAAAAAAAAAAACATTTTGCGAGAGGCCTTTGTAAAGGATTTTATTATCCTTTTGGAACAGAAAAGAAAACGTTTATTTTATCTGGGCATCATAGCATCTCTCAATCTAAAAATTAACAAGAGGATCAGGGACAACATCTCTCATCTTAGCAATTGGATAGGAAAAAGCACATATCACATCAGAACTGAAAGTTTACTGAGGAGGGGGGAGGGGGCTTGAATTTTAACCCTCAGGGGTCATATTTTGAACAAACTAGAATCTACACTACCTGAGGATTATTCCCTATAAATATCACTAAGCATGGCTTTGAAGTACTTGAAACCAAGATTTTGAAAGATTTCCCTATATTCCTATGTAAAATTTTATCGACCATTTGGCCCCACCCTACCCCCGGGTCATTATTTGAACAAACTTGAATTAAAACTACCTGAGGATGATTCCACAGGAGATTCATCTTTCCTGTTTCAATAGTTCTTGAGAAGAAGGTTTTCTTATATATTCCTATGTAAAACATTGATCGGCCATTTTGGACCCACCTTACCCCTGGGGTCATGATTTGAACAAACTTGAATCCACACTACCTGAGGATGATGCCTCATGAGTTTCATCTTTCCTGGCCAAGTGGTTTTGAGGAGATTTTTTGAAAATGCCATTATTTTTTCTCTAATTCATAATTATCTCCCCTTTGGAAAGGGCGTGGCCCTTCATTTGAACAAACTTGAATCCCCTTTACCCAAGAATACTTTGTAGCAAGTTTGGTTGAAATTGGCCCAGTGGTTCTTGAAAAAAAAAATTTTAAAAAAAA